AAGCGACCGTGCTAGAACCACGGAACTCGGGAATGCCTAACACCTTCTCCCGGGTTAACAGAATTCCTTACTCGGATTGCTGGTTCGCAGACTATATACAGAGTCATTCTTTTCCTCGATTCGGAATTCTAAACCGGTGACTTAGGACACCGTAAATCTCCCAAGTGGCGACTCTGATTTTAATTAAATATCCCTCTTCATGGGGTGTAGTAAGGAAAAAGGAGGTGTGACAATCATGCCTAGTTTTATGATTATTTATGAAGGCATGCGAACTTGTTCTTGATATGTTGAACTGCTTGAATTATCCTTAGTCATATAGAAATTTCATGAGCACGTATCTTCATGATTATTGTTAAGTCCTTGTGCATCTTTATTCTATTAATTCTTGGACATAAGCATATATACTACATTAGGATACTTAATTTGGACTGATATTGTGGCACGAGAGGCAAGGTCACGCGGTTTAAATACAGTTTCGGCACAGGACATGACGAGCGAATATTTAATTATGAGTGATGCTATTAAGCTCCTCTTTGCGCTTGAATTTAGTACCGTCCCTCCGGAGTCTGGTGATTACCCATGTTACCTTGGGCCTGGGAGCATGGTCCGTACATGAATTTTGCATGGAATCGATATATTGATTTTGTATCGGATTATTATGATACATGAATTTTATATCGAGATACATGGATCTTTTATCGGTATACATGGATCTTGTATCGGGATACATGGATCTTATACCATTTTGAGCATGTCATATTCCTGATTCAGTTAGAAGTATACATTAAAATGCTAACTATTGCATGCTATGTATACATGCTAGATTGGAGACTCGACTCTGTTGATAGAAGCATGCCTTTATAACTTTCTATACTTGAGCAGCGTTAACATTATCTATTTAATTGAAAAGACATGCTTTCGGCCTTTTGACAAATTTATATCTTGATACATATTGATCATGAGGACATTTACCGTTCGACTTCCAGGCTTGTTATTTTTCTCGCATTTGTAAGTATTCAGATACATCTAGCCTAACTACTACTTCTTCGAGGTTATATCTTGATACATATTAATCATGAGGACATTTACCGTTCGACCTCCAGGCTTGTTATTTTTCTCGCATTTGTAAGTATTCAGATACATCTAGCCTAACTACTACTTCTTCGAGGTTAGACTTGATTTTAAGGAATTTAGTTACTTCGTCCTTGATGAAATCATGCTTGATCTCGAACTGGGGTCTCCTTTTCTGCTTGACCGGGTGGAATTTCTGGTCCAGGCTCAACTTGTGAGTAGTGATCTTCGGTGGGATCCCTATCATATCGAGATGGGACCAAGAAAAACAATTTTCGTTAGCTATAAGAAATTGAATAAATTTTTTCCTGAGCTCGGGAGTTAAGCCCGTGCCCAAGTATACCTTTCGATCGGGCAGATGTTCGATCAGTACGACATGCTCCAGCTCTTCGACCGTTGATTTGGCAGCATCAGAATCATCGGGAACTATAAAGGATCGAGGAACCCCGTAATCATCATCTTCGCCAGTCCCCTGCTTGTCCGGCTGAGTCGAGGCTGGCATCGGTGATTGCTATTTGGCTTACTGTTTTGCTTTCGAACCTAGCTCATTTGTCGATGAGAGTGTTGATATCAGAATTACTCCATCAACGGAAAACATCTCCTCTGCGACAGGTTGCTACCCGTAGACCATCTTGATCCCTTCTAGTGTTGGATGTTTTAATACCTGGTGTAGGGTCGAGGGCACATCCCTCATGTTGTGGATCCATGGCCTCACGAACAGGGCGTTGTACCTCATGTCCCCTTCAATCACATAAAACTCGGTCTCCTAGGCGGTTCCGGCTACGTTTACCAGTAACGTTATTTATCACTTAGTAGTTTCGCAAGCCATTTTGAACCCGTTTAGCACTCGGGCCGCAGGCACGATTTGGTCCTATAGGCCAAGTTGCTCTACGACCCTCGATCCGATGATGTTGGTCGAGCTACCTGGATCAACTAACACACGTTTAACTCGAGTTTTATTCATGAGTACAGAAATTACTAGTGCATCATTATGGGGCTACATGATTCCTTCTGCATCTTCGTCGTTGAAAGATAAAGTTCCTTCTAGTGTGTAATCTCGGTCCATTTTTCCCTTGTGATTGATGCTTTGGTACACTTTAACATCGGACCTTGAGGAACATCGACCCATCCGATGATCATATGAATGACATGTTGAGGTTCATTTTGCTCGTTCTGTTTACTGAATCCCTAATCCTGAAATGATTCTTGGCTCAGCCACTTAGAAATTCCCAAAGGTGCCCATTGTTGAATAACCGGGCTACTCTCTTAATTGTCGACAATCCTCCGTTCTATGGCCATGTAAGCCATGATATTTGCATACTTGGTTGGGGATCCCTTTGGGCTGGATTGGTTTGTAAAGGCCGAGGCCACTTGGTATCTTTGATGCGTTCGATAGCCGATACAATGGCAGCTGCATCAATATTAAAGTAGTATAATTGTGGTCCTTCTATAGGTCTGATAGGTCTGTCAAAGCCGTTCTTGCTCATGAGCCCTCGAGAGCTCTGGCCTCGATCACTTCTCCTTTCATTTCGTGCAGAATTATGCCAAGATCCGCTTCTCTTACGATCTCCATTATACGGCTAGTATCTTTCTCTGTTCAACCTCGGTTCTCGGTCAATATCCCTCTTGATTCTATCGACGGGTCTGATAGGATAAACAGACCCAGAAGGAGCCCCGAGTTGATCATCTTCGACCCTTATCTTTGATTGATACCGATTATACACATCGGCCCAAGTAACAGCCAGGTATTCTATCAAATTCTGCTTTAACTAATGTGAAGCCACTGAGCTTCGAATATTGAGTCCTTGGGTGAAAGCTTGAACAACCCAATCATCAGCGACCGGTGGCAAGTCCATCCATTCCATTTGGAATCGAGACACGAATTCTCTAAGCATTTCGTTGTCCTTCTGCCTTACCTTGAAAATGTTCGACTTCCTGGTTTCGACCTTAATGGCCCCGACGTGTGCTTTTACGATAGAATCTGTAAGCATAGCAAATGAATCAATAGAATTAGGTTGTACATTATGGTACCATATCATAGCTCTCTTTGACAGGGTCTCTCCGAATTTCTTTAGCAAGACATATTCGATCTCGTCATCCTCTAGATCATTCCCTTTGATAGAACATATGTATGAGGTGACGTGCTCGTTCAGATCTATCGTTCCATTGTATTTTGACTTGGGAGTCGTGCTCGGGGGAAAGGTTTCTGTACGAAATTTTTGGAGTCCAAACCCTTCAATATTAGTGGTGCCCCCGAGATTTGATCGATTCTGGAGTTGTAAGTTTCCACCTTTTTGTCGTTTGCCTCGATCTTCTTTTCCCGCGACCCAATTCGTTTTGTCAGTTCTTCGAGCATCTTCATGATTGAAGTATTGGTCTCCGATTCTTTCTCGTTCGATTTCCTTGAAACCGATTCGACCCTATGGACAACTTCCTGGTACAGCTCGAGCTCGACCCTACTCGGTGGGTGATTCTAGTTTTGGAGCTGGCTACCGCTTCTTGTTGAGCCTACAACATTTCGAAGATCACTCGCAGGCTGATCCCGCCATCTTCGCCGCCATGTGTGCTTTGAGCGGCTGATCGAACATCCCCATAAACGCTACCCTCGGGATCGACGGCGAAATTTGCATTGATGGCTACATGTGAGCTGACGTAGATTAGATCTACAGCCGGAACTCCGTCGAGGCCAGCCTGGGGTACATCGTTCCCTGGTGCTATGTCATCATTTTCGCCGTGGTGGCCGAAATCATTGTCAATGTGTAGAGATGCTGACTGAGAGTTCGACATTTTGGTCCTAGAATGAAAGATACTCCAAAGAACAAGTGTAAAATAGTGTGTGTTATGAAAGTTTGTACCAGGTAATCACTATTATTCTTAGCTTCACGGTTAGAGCCAAACTGTTTACCCTTAAAATTGGATAACAATTGAATTTATACACGGTTTTAAGGATATGTGATATAACTTGGTATAAATTAAGAAGATGGATTAATATTAAAATTAACAATAAGAAAATAAATACAAACCACACAAATTGAACAGCCTTAGTCTCTGAGTTTGATCACCCTCGAGCCAAGAAACGTATCAACTAATGTTAGAACTGAACAACAAGATGATAAGAACTAGAAATGATCAGTATATTACTTTCTTTGTGCATGTTACCATGTCCTACAAATGATTAGAATCCCCCTTTATATAGTAGGGGTGTTTGAATCTTAGAACAACTCTATACAAGGTAAAAAATCTCATGATTTGCTAATTAATCGGCCTCTTCTTGATATGTGCCGAGATTTTCGCCGTGATATTCGACCGATCGAGGATATTTCGGCTTACCGTTATTTGGCTCGGCAAGTTTCTCTCGATCTTGTTCGGTCTCGATCTTGCTCGGTTTCTTGGTCACAAGCTCGACGATCTAATTTTGCACCTTGGTTCGATATAACTCGAGCTCGAGTTTTGACCTGCCATGTTTCGGCCTCGATCGGTCAAATAATGAACGAACCCGGTTTCGACCGTATACAAATATAAAAGTGTTATTTTTGTTCATTTAGCCAGTTGTTCTCAATCACTATACCAGAATTTTGTGGATTATTATTGCCAAATCATTTGTGCCTCGCAGGTATAAGCTCGAGAGAGCTACATGCTCCTATCATTTTTTTTAAGCTTTACAAAAACAAATTTATGAGCAGCTGCACGACAAATGCTAACAGAAAAAGATGAAAAAGACGCAAATGAAAAAAGTGGTTGTGCTTGCATTCAGTATAGCCTCAGCCCTCAAAGTTGCTTATACTGACCTATCAAAATAAATATCTTACCTAAGCATCTATCAATGTATTTTCTGACCTTTACCTAGCTTCATGAAAAACAGGGGAAAATGAGGTAAATTATGGGTGTGTTGGTATGAAGGAAAAACATGTTTTCCGGAAAAGAAGTCATTTTTTACAATCAAACACCAAAAAATTCTTCCACTAAAAGGGAAAAAATTACAATCTTCGCTCATGTTTTTCGTAGTCCATATGAAATAGTTTCCAACTTCTAGAGAATGTTAGATAGTGTAACAAAGTTTTTTCTGGAAACGGGTTTTTTTAAAAAAAAACCTTTTCTTTCGTACCAAGCACACCCAATTACAAAGAATCCTCAAAAAAGAAAAAAAAAATGGCCATATAGAAGAAAGCTTTTCTTTCAATGACATATTATACATACAAATTTAGGAGAAGAAAGGAGATAATTGATCTACAGTGTACATAAAAAGGGAATACCAAGGACTTTAATTTGATGCCACTTCATCCAATAGGTCTAGTTGCCAGAGGAACAACTTCAGCCAGAGGAGTGGATTGTGGTGTTGGCAATGGAGAAGTTCTACAAACAGGACAAGTTGGATTTAACCTCAGCCATGGATCTACGCATTTTAAGTGGAACAAATGCCCACAATCTGGTAATAGCCTTAACATGTCACTGTTCTTGTAATCTGCCAAACAAATTGAGCAACAAGTCGCCGTTGAATCCTTGTGATTGACCTTAGCTTCTGAATACAACAACTTTGGATAACTCAATAGGGTTTCCTCATCAAGCCCCAGTTCCACCACAACTTCTTGAACGTCCTCGTTGCTATTTTCATTCCTTTGCCTCGTCCTTTGTGGTGGCACAGTGGTTTGATGTCTTGTACAAAAGTAAGATGTCAAGGTGATAGTTGTAATTAATAACAATATCCCTACTGAAACTCCAATGCCATACGCGAATCCACCGATGTTTTGCGACCCTAAGAACCCACCGGTATTTGGATCAGGGCTTATTGCTGTGCTATTCATGATCTTGTTATGTTTGTGATTTTGGTTTGGTTAGCCATGAGGTTAAAACAAAAGGAAATGGTCTAAAGATTCTGAAGTCAGCGGTTTACATATGACAGATTTGATAAAAGGGGGAAGTTTGATTGGAGAAGTTTTAAACAAGGGAGGATGCATTTGGACTTCAACGTAATGAACTTTAAAAATTATACTATGAATGGAAGATATAAAGCAAGAAAAAGGAAAGTGTATTTGAAGAGGTTTCTTGTGAATATATATAGTGCTTTATCCTTGTGAGGTAGGTTGGAGATGTCAACGGTTGCCTCGCTGGCTTTCTATCCTTTTCATGTACGTTTGATTCATGTGAGTAACGTCTTTCTTGGTAGCAAATTATTCAACTTTCTCCACTGGTAGTTACATGTTTTATGAATAAATTATATCGTTGTTTTCTAAGTCGTTATGGTTTATTATATATACTTAAATTTCTGTCTCCCTTTGAAACTTTCTCTATCTTCTTAATGATCCATGTATTGCATTGCACGTTCCATGAACCAAAAGTTTAGCAGGTTGCATATGATGGCTAGCTTATTCTATTTGCTTATAAACTCTAGTTGACATTAATTACAGCTTTCGTTCTTTTAACCCCTACGTGCAATAGGCATAAACGACAAAACGAAGAATATTTCTAAGCGCGATAAGAAAATTAATGATACAAATTGGGAATTCCTTGTCCTGTCAACGAATGGTATAGCTATTAAAGCAAGCAGCATTACCCTTTGGCACATCTTACGCTCATAAGACAAATTAAGAAGTAGGGTGTGTACGAATGATTATTTTGTAATAGTGTTTATTGATGATATATTAAGAAGTCTTGCGATCATGTAAAAGGAATTGGGCCGGGGGAGAATTGTGCCTCGCGATCGTTTGGAGGAGATTCGATATCGCGTAGGTTCATCAGCGTGTACATTGCGGTCGCATGAAGGTGGTAGCAACTACGTAGGAGCCAGGCCAGTTGGCCTTGATGATTGCGTGAACCCAAACACGATCGCATATAAGGAATGATCTACAAGGGTATTTAAGGTCCAAATTTCGGGATTTTACTCATTTTTATCATTTATGAGACATAAACTTTCGGAGGAGGTAATTTTTGAAGAGTTTTAAGTCCAACTTTAGAGGTAAGTAATTCTAACTCGGATTTAACTTAAGATATTGAATAACCATGAATTTTCACTCCTAAATCTAAGGAATTTGAAGAAAGAGAGGGAGTTTTGGCATAAAGAGTAGTTATTTTCTTTTCGGATTTTAAACACCGATTTGAGGTTGAATTTGAAAATAAAGTATATATTTAGACTTCAGAGGTCATGGGCTACCGGATATTGTGTTCAATTTTGGATTCTGGACATGTGGGTCCGCGTTGATTTTTGTTTAATTTTTTTAAATTCTTTAAAGATTAAAAAAAATTGGATTGGAATTGAGTCCTAAAGTATTGATTGAATTCTTTAAGTATTGTTTGGATAGATTTGGGATATCTAGAGGAGAATTTCAAAGGAAAAATATTATTTGAGGGTTGAAGTTGTTTTTGAAGAAGATAAGTCTCTTGTCTAAACTTCTTAAGAGGGAAATCTTTCCAAAAGTTAGACTTGTATGTTACATGCTACATGATTTGAGTGTGGCATATATACAAAGTGACAAGCATATATACGTAAATTAAGACTATACCATGTTTGAGGGTAGTTTTAGGATTCTTTGTACTGTGTTTGGTTAGTGCTCTTCTTGACTTATATTTTATTTGATTGTAATACTACGTGAGCCTATTTATTCATGCTAGATATCATGCTTATGCTAATGGCGTCGTATTTGGGCATGATGAGCTTTTCATGAGATGTTGGTATATTTGATTAGTCGTAGTCATACTATATATCATAAACATAGACACATCCATATCTTTATTGACTATGTCCTTGTGTATCTTATTTATTATCTCTTGAGCATATGCATATATTTTTGAAGATGAAGATCTTGATACATATTGATATGATTAGGACATTACGAGTGTATTGATATTGTTATGGCACGATGGTTTATGCCATGCAGTTATTATGAAATTGATATGTTATGGCGCGATGAGTTTCCATGCGGTTCTTGGAAAATGGATTCGTCACTACGGAGTTAGGTGATCACCCATATTACACTGGGCCCTATGAGCGCAGGTGATACACGTATCATGTTAGAACACGTGGGATGTGTTGGATCATATTGGCGCATATAGGATATGTTGAATATTGGTTATAATTGAGTCTTGAGCATGCATAAATGTTGAGATGAGCATGTATTATGTTTGATGATTAACAAACCAAGATCAACTGACTATGTTTAGAGACAGGTTTCTATGCTACTAGACTGATGCGCACTTATATTATATGGATAATGCCATAATCAAGTTCGTAGCAGATGAAGTACAAAATGATGATCAAATGTGGAAAGTCAGAATTCATGTGTAAGTTAGATTCCTCAATAAAACCTATTCTCGCGCTACAAAGGAAAACATTAATGGGAGGAGTTTGTGTTTGGAAAGGATTTGACATTTATGGAAATCTTGAATTAAAGGTAAATGTTTGAGTAGTTGGAATAATTAAGGAAATCTAAGAATATGAAGGGACATGCGTGCTACTAAGACTATCGGTGAGAAACTAAAAACTACCCACTAACCTTCTACCTTAATCCTCGACCTCCACACCCTCCTATCAAGGGTCATGTCCTCAGTAAGCTGAAGCAGCGCCATGTCCTGTCTAATCACCTCTCCCCAGTACTTCTTAGGCCTACCTCGGCCTCTTCTCAAACTCGCCATGGCCAACCTCTCACACCTCCTAACAGGTGCATCAATGCTTCTTCTCTTAACATGTCCGAACCATCTCAACCTCGACTCCCGTATCTTGTCCTCCACGGAGGCTACTCCCACTCTGTCTCGCATAACTTCATTCTTAATCTACATTTCATGATAATAATAATAATAATAATAATAATAATAATAATAATAATAATTATTATTATTATTATTATTATTATTATTATTATTATTAATAATTATTATTATTATTATTAGTAGTAGTAGTAGTAGTAGTAGTAGTAGTATGTGGCCATTAGTAGTAGTATGTGGGTAGCATAATCGATTATGTGGCCAGCAGAATAGATATATGGCCAGCAGAATATTTATGCGGCCAACAGAATGATTATGCGGCCAGCAGAATAGTTTTCAAAATTTGCCCATTTTTCTATTCCACTCTGCGATGCTTATGCAGTCCGCAAAACAGTTTTGCGGTCAAGAAATTGATCGCCGAATCGCCTTCTTCTGCCAAAAATTCCCATTAACATTTCAGTGCATTCTTTAACCCAAAAAGTCCGTGCCGCGGCAAGCCAGCTCGCCGCGAAAATTTTCTACAACCTTTGTACACATTAGTTTACCTCGGCACCACAAAATTTTAAATTTCTTGGCGAAATTTTATGGGGCCTTACATTAACCAAATCACGTAGACTGCCAAACCCGAATTGTCCTACCACAAATAGTAAAAATTGCACGGGGCGCCCTATTTGGTTGCCCCATTTAACCTATACCCACTTTTTAAAAAAATTTTTAACTTGTACCCACTTTTTAAACAACTCCAGGCCTCTTTCTCCTCCTCCTTCATTTTTTCCTTCTCCTTCTCAGAGTATAAGACATCTTAATCGAGGCCACGATCCACATTCTTAAAGATTCTTTTACATAAAATATTTCTACTAAAAAATTCTAACAAAGTTCTATAATTTTGTTTCAGAAAAAGTTGATTCAAAGGCAACCTATAGTAAATGAAAGTATGATTTAACTCATATATACAGACAATGTAACTAATTTATATAAACTTTACCTGTAGCAAAATATGTAACTTGCCATAATTTATCATGTTATTCGTCCTAATTTTTCTGGATGATGATAGATAGATGTGACCTCATAGTCTTAATTTGACATCTTATCTTTATTACTACGCTGTTATTCTATGTGTAGTTAACCTAAGCAGCATCTTATTCGTTCTAAGTTCCATTCAGATCCTATGGATTAACATGAAAAACTTCAGCTCCTAGAATGCTGAAGTTCAGCAAATACAAACAAACTTCAGCTCCCAGAATGCTGAACTTCAGCAAATACTGAACAAACTTCAGCTTCTAGAATGCTGAAGTTCAGCAAATACCAAACAAACTTTCAAATCCTAGAATGTTGAAGTTCAGCAATTACAAAACAAAAACTTCAGCCAAAACATATTGTAGTTTTATTGAATTGAAGTTTGTCATTGCACTATGAACTGAAGTTTGTGTGATTGCCTATGCTACTTCAGGCCCGTAAGTCTGAAATTACCCGAAAAGTGGGTACACTTGCAATTTTTTTTGCAAAGCGGGTATAAGTTAAAAGGTGACCCAAAAACTGGGCATATATGCAAATCCCCCACAAAAGTACCTAAAATGCCCCATCATACCAAAAAACTGAATATTTCTATTAACATGATGATACAAGCCACTGCTATGTTGATCCAACTTCCTCAGATTATTCTTGACCTTCCTTTTAAGGCATCGCTTTTCTTTCCCCTATACACGGAGGATTTTAACCAAATTCACCCCAAGTGATCCCAACATGAAACTATGTCATCCTCAGATTCGTACGCCACTTTATTCCCCTTTATGCACCCAAAAGTACCTCAAAACTGAAATGCTTGCTCTAAAGAGACCTTCAATGAATCGGAAATTGTCCCTTTCATCTCTACAACACTATATCCTAGTGCCAATAATGATACAGAAATACTCCAAGTCTCTATCACAATCCAATGCAAATTTCAAATCCTTAGCCACACAACAAGTTCGGTAAATTCTTAGGTACCACATTTTGGATCTTGAACCCACTAGAACCATTCTCGAGAGTCACCCACTCTGCTTTAGTTCCCAGTGCATAGCCAAACACGTCAAACGACTAGTGCTCCGTTAGCATACGAATACGCAAAAAAGAATCAGCCTCATCCTTAAGCAACTGAGTGAATCCTTTCCCCTTGCACACTACATCCACAAAGAATATCAAACCTGAGTTATTACACAATCTCCGTATATCAGTAAGGTGTACATCATGCATCCAACAATTTTTTGCCGAAATCATCCTTTAATTCACCCTTCTCAAATCATAACTAATTTGCAAGCACAACTCAGTCCAGAAGCTATAACAATACATGTTCATATGAT